AAAAACCATTCTTATGAGATAGTAAAAAAAATTTTTCGAAGCTATCGAATACTGAATATTTTCATATCAATGACTAGCATTCAATTGTCAAATATAAAATATATTTTGAAAAATACGTAGAACATTGTGAATAACCAAGCAAGAGTTATACTAACATAATAAAAAAATACATTTTTGAGACTTGACTCTAGCTTACACTACCCTACCTTATTTATTTACAAATGAACATAAATTTTTAAAAATGTATTCCATTTGTATTGTATTGTACTGTATTATCATTTATATATAGCAGTGATAAATTTATGTGAACAAGAATGTTCATTAACAATCTTTATGTCCCTTACCACTGGTGGGGGGAAACAATAAAAGATTGGTGAGACGTTGATTTACTTTCAACAACTGATTTTATTTAAATTGATTTGTTCTTTTATACAAAATAAAATGCAACCGTAATTGCAAAACATACAATAAATAAAATAGCTTATTGCTTAATTCGCGCAAATTGCTTAATAAGCAATAGTTGCGAATGCTTTACTTATGACCTAATTTTTACTTTTTGTTGATTCGTCAACCAAGAAATTAAGCAACAGGTGTGAGCGATTAACTCATGACCTAGTTCTTAATTTTTTGTTGATTCGTCAACATTATGCCGGCTCTGCGTTGGTATTACGAGTTGGTCTAGATTTGTTAGCCTCAGCAGGTTTTGTTTATGTGCAAGACCAAGCGACATCGTACGTGGACGGTGATGTATGATTATTGGCTGATGTTGATGGTATTCTCGGTTTAATGTAACACATGTAATATAATACTCCAACGAATATGATTATTATTATAGCTGTAGCCCCGATGACCCATTTCTTCCAATATTGATGAGTCATTATTGTTTTCCAAGATATTTCGTTGACTTGGTCCATGTTGTCTCGAGCATCCCTTGCGGAGTACAAAAGCATAGTTGATAAATCTTGCACCAATGGGATGACGGTTTCATTTGTAATTTTATGCATTCTACTGTCAGGTATTGAAATGTTTTGCATGCTGATTGGTTTAACGTGGTGTGTGATTGATTGAAATTCTTTCATCATTCTTCCTTCCAGTTGAATAGTCTTAGAATGTATTACACAATCTGGAGAGATATGAATGATTCCCGTATAATTCAGAACTACTTCTTCACGTTCAATATGACAAATTACATGAATTGTCGTTAAATTTGGTGTAATGAATATCCAAGCATTGGGCGTCCAAAGCTCTTTCCAAACTGGTTGTATAACTTGAAATCTTTTTGACGGACAGTTATCGAATGTTAATTTATTATACAATTGCTTAATTACACAATTGGAACTCTCGTCAATGTTGTAAAATATTGTTGGATGAAGTAACCTAGTACCATTATTCAGCTTGGTTGCAGTCTCCATTTGGCTGATAGTAACGTCAAAATATTTTTTACTGCTATAATTGATGCCAAATGTGGATGTTAACAATTCGATTTCTTGATATATATTATCATTAATTCTTTCTGGAATCGTGTTGAATCTAATGATTTCATATTCTTCTATATCGCTGATTGTGAAATAACCATAAATTATAACGTTGTCAGTATCTCGAACATATTCCAATCTGTTCATCGGAATTGGTAATTTCTGGTCCAATTTTTGAGGAACATCGAGTTATAATATCATTAATTTCATCATGTGAAAGGAATTCATAAATATGACTGCGTTTTAAATATACATTGAAGATCTTATTATATTTTGATTCTACTTCTCGAATGTAATTGGAAGCCATTATATATGAATTAAGTACATATATATTCAGTTTATTTCCTTCTCCGATATCATGCCAACCTTGCATCTGACTGATAGCCTGCAATCCTTCGTTTAGTCTTTTACTAAAGCTGTTGATTTTGTTGATGATTTTAGTTTCTGTGTTGTTTACTGCCGCTATTGTGGATATCATGATTCTAGCATTTGATTTAGTATTTTGGATCAATAATTTTTGATTTTGATCCAACGTTTCAATGTCGTGATACACTTCATCGTTTACACCAAAAAGTGTTGTTAACACTGTACCTAATATTTCTCGGGGACTTCTTGTAACCGATGATTCTGCCGTCAACAATCGATCAATGGTTGTTCTTAAGATGCGTCCTTCATGACTTAAATTGGAAACTAAATCGTCACATTGTATATAAGGATTGACAGCCTTTGACTTGGTACACAACATTGTTAATTGTTTTATGGTGCTATTAACGTTCCTTTGATCTTGAATTATGTCACGGATTGGAAATGTGATAGTGGTTCTAAGTGTTCCTCTTTGTATTTTTGCTTTGCCTAATCCTTCAATGAATAATCCTGATTCGGGATATGTTATAGTGGGTGTTGCTAATGTAGTTCCTAATGTGAGATATGCCAAAAATATAGCAAGAACTGTCGATTTTGATTGCCTAGCCGATAACCATTGTCGTCGCGTTTTAGGATCTCCTGCAGTAGACTTTGTCGAAACTACTTCTTTATTTCTGATAGTGTTTCCAAATGGTAACATATTTTGAGTGTCTGATTTTGCTTTGATTAATGTTGCTTCTTTAAATAATTTTGGGAACTTCTCCTGGTTTGACGGAATATGACCTTCTTTTACATTATCAGTGATTGGTAGAAGACATATTTTTTGGATTGTACGTTTTACTATCCCCTTTTGGGTTTTAATTGTAGCAACTCGGGTTAAGCCATCTGTTCCCTTATGAACTTCTATAACTCTGCCTAGAGGCCACGTCGATGATATTAATGTTTCGTCTTTCAATAGGACTAGTTGACCAACTTCTAAGTTTGGTATAGATTTTGTCCATTTGTATCTCTGTTGTTGAATATTTCTTATATATTCTTGGAACCACCGTTTACAAAAGTCTTGCTTTATTTTCTGCACAATCTTCCATCTTTTTAGGCTAGTTTCTGTAAAGTTAATAAGACTATCATGCGCTGGAGTCATTAATGACGATCCCACAATGAAATGTCCTGGTGTAAGTGCATTAAGATCTTCAATGTTGTCTGTTAATGGACAGAGTGGCCGTGAATTAAGACAACATTCGATTTGAATTAAGACCGTACTCAATTCCTCGTATGTCAATTTTTGGTCACCTATAATTCTAGCTAGATGATATTTAATGGATTTTACTCCCGATTCCCAGAGACCACCAAAGTGAGGTGAGCCAGGAGGGATGAAATGCCAACGTATACCTGTTTCAGCTAGATGATTCTCTATTTGAATCTTCTGTAAAATGTTGTTTGCACCTGTAAAATTGGTACCATTGTCGCTATAAATATGATGTACTGAGCCACGTCTGCTTATCATTCGTTTGAGTGCTGCTAAAAATCCTTGAGATGTCAGATCTGAAGTTAACTCAATGTGAATTGCCTTTGTTGCCAGACATACAAAAATAGCTATATACGCCTTATGTGTTTTAATTCCCCTGAATTGCGAGCATTTAATGTGTAATGGCCCTGCATAGTCTATGCCGCAGTGTGTGAATGGCCTCGAGAAATTTACTCTTGGTGTTGGTAAACTTCCCATTAATTGAGATTGTCCTTTTGCCTTTATTCGAAAACATTTTAAACATTTATTGATGCAAGCTTTCATAGCGATTGTTCCACGAATAATCCAAAATTTTTCCCGAACGTAGTTTAGCGTCAGTTTTAATCCTCCATGAATCGTATTAATATGCGCCTGATTGATTATGAGTTTGGCCAAAGTACTCGTTGTATGTAAAATTATTGGATACTTTTGGTTGTCAGATAAATCTGCATTTCTTAATCTGCTGCCCACTCTTAGTACTCCTGCACTGTCAACAAATGGGTTTAATGAACACAACTTATTACTTTTCATTAATTGTTTCTGAAGATTAAGCCGTCTGATGTCATCTGAAAAACATTTTTGTGCCTGCTTCACCAACAAAATTTCTGCTGCATCGATATCGTCTGCCGACAGATTGTCGATCTTTCTTTCGGATTTCTTTTTATGATAATTATAAACGAATCTAAGACAATAAGCTGTCACTCGAAGAAGTTTGTTTAATGAAGAAAATCGATTAATAATATTATCATCTTTGGTAATGTCCACGACGGTACATATTGCAGTTTTTCTGGTTTCCGGAATAAGATTCAAATCAATTACTTCATCATTTTCTGGCCAATTTCCTTCATCTTTTATTAGCCAATTTGGACCATGCCACCATAATGTATTTGAAATAAGATTGTCACCATATACTCCCATTGATGGAATATCTGCTGGATTATCTTTTCCTGGAACAAATCTAAATTGCCCTTTAAACGTATCCTGAATATACGATACTCTGTTTGCTACAAACGTAGTCCATCTATTTGGGTATTACCTTAGCCAATTTAATACAATTTTTGAATCTGACCATGCAATAATTTTACTATAGTTGATCTTGTTATTCTTCTGAATGTAATTAATCAACTTTATCAATAGCACAGCTGCGCATAACTCCAATTGGGCTAATGATACTTGCTTAATAGGCGCAACTTTGGTTTTTGATGCTACTAGGGATATTGTAACCTTTTCTGCATTGATAACCTTTGTATATACAACTGCAGCATATCCTGCTTCTGACGCATCTTCAAATCCATGTAACTCGATTAAACTATTCTCTGAATGTTGTGTCCATCTTTTCATGGTTATTTTCTGAACAGCAGGTAATCTCATTTTAAATTCTTCCCATTGCGCCTGTAGATTGGGTGGGATCTCTGTATCCCAACCAATTCCTAGCATCCACAATTTTTGTATCATAATTTTTGCTTTAATGGTTACAGGTGACAACCAACCAAATGGATCGAATAGTTTTCCAGCATCACTTAGAATTGCTCTTTTTGTGTATTTTGAGCTGAATGACGTGGTATTTATTTTAAATTCAAATTGATCCAATTTAGGACACCATTTTATTCCTAAAATTTTAATCGCTTGGTCGTTGTTAAATTGCATCTCTAACCCTGGTTCAATGTCTTTTATCTGGATATTCGTCAACATTTCCGGTTCGTTTGATGCCCATTTTCTTAAGTTAAAACCTCCCTTCCGCAATAATTGGATTAATTCTTCTTGTACTTGTTTACACTCTTTAATCGTATTAGCGCCTCCCAAACAATCGTCTACATAAAATTTTTCATTTAAGGTTTCACTTGCCAAAGGATAATTAATTCTCTCGTCTTCTGCTAGCTTAAACAACGTCTTGATGGCAAGATATGGTGCTGATGCAGTACCATATGTAATCGTGTTCAAATTGTATTCTTTTATTGGTTTTTTCTGATCGTTTCTCCTTAAAATTCGTTGAAGATCTCTATCATCATGATGAATCAGTATTTGCCGATACATTTTTTCAATGTCAGCCTTAAAAACTATTTTAAACATTCTCCACTGTAATAATAGAATGAATAAATCCTTTTGTAATGTAGGACCTGTCATCATAATACTGTTCAGTGATTGTCCTGATGTCGTTTTTGCGGACGCATCAAACACCATTCGAAGTTTTGTTGTCGTGCTGTCTTCTTTAATAACTGCATGATGCGGCAAATAATATACCTTTGTCTTTGGTTTCTCATTTACTTCTTTCATGTGACCCAGCTTGATATACTCTTGCATAAAGTTCACATACTCTTGCTTTAGTGCTGGATTCTTCTTAAATCGTTCTTCCAATGAAAAGAACCGTTTTAATGCCATCTTTCTGGATTCACCTAACGTTTCTCGATCATTTTTCAGTGGTAACCTAACGATGTATCGTCCTGTTTAAAGCGGGTGCAAATTGAATCATAATGTCGCTCACAACGCCTTTCTTCTACTGTTCTTAAGTCTGCATTTGGGATTTCCTCTAATTCCCAAAACCGTTTTAAATACTCGTCGCTGCTTTCGCAAGCCATGGAGCATAACATTATTTTGTTTGTGATTGTACGCTCTACATCTAAAGGTCCTGATAATATCCATCCAAATAGTGTGTTTTGAGCCATTGGAGAGTTGTCTGGCCCTTTAATTAATCCTTCTTTAAACACTTCTGGTAATACGTCCGACCCGATTAACAATTGTATTTCCTTTGGTTCAGCATACCAAGGATCTGCTAACTGCAATCCATCAATATGCGACCATTTTCCTGGCGTGAATTCTGCATTTGGCATTTTTGATGTGATTTTTGGTAACACTATTGCTTCGATATGACAGCTCTTATTTTCATCGTGTATAGATTGAATTTCTAATGAACATTTGGCTATAACGCTTGTTGTTTGTCCATTGATACCTTTTACATGAGTTTGATAATTGGTCAATGGTGCTCTGATTGATCTTGCTAATTGTTCTGTTATTATACAAGATTGTGATCCTTGATCAAGAAGCGCTCGTATCGGATTAACTTGTTTTTTAGTCCTTATAATTACCATTGCTGTTGCTAGTAAAACAGTTTTTTCCTTTTGGATGTTGTACGACGCTGCCACTTCGGTCTCTGTGGTGTTCTTCAATGTTGGCATCCTCTGTTTACTTATGTTATTTGTGACTGTTGGTTTGCCCTTAACTTGTTCATGAATAAGTTGATGGTGTTTTTTGTCGCAAATTGCACATCTTTTTTTATTCAAGCACAACTTACTAAAATGCCCACTCTGAAGGCAATTAAAACATAATTTGGCGCTCATAATCTTTTCACGACGTTCCGGCACCTTCATATTCAGAAACTTTGAACATCGAATTAATTGGTGGTCACCATTACACACTAAACATAGCGTATGTATTGTATTTACATGCGTTTTTGTATTTACTGCTGTTGGTCGAAAATTATTCTTATTTTCGCGATTTGTGTCACGACTTGCCTCCAATCCTCTAACTCTGCTCTCGATAAACTCGTATAAGCTGCTCAATTTCGGTATTTGTGTTGATGCCCCTCTTGAATGTTGGTATAATTTTCTGGTTTCACCATCTAATTTTGGAAGCAGTATCTGTATAATTAGTGGATCCCAACTTGACGTGTCCACATTTAAATTACGTATACCATATAAAACTTCACTAGAAGAATCCACTATTGTTTTTAAATCCTGTGCATTCTCATTTCTTATAGCTCTGAGCGACAATAACTTATTGATAAGATTGTCCACAAGTATTGCTGGATTGTTGTATCTTTGTTTCAGTAGTTCAACTGCCGCTGTATAATTGTTCGCTGTTATTGTTAAATGATTGATAAGTCTGGCGGCTTCTCCCCGTAGACTTCCTTTTAAGTACTGCATCCTTTCTACATCCACTAGATTATGGTTTTGTTGAACTAACCGATCGAACAATTCCCAAAATGGACAACACTCTTCAAATCTGCCGTTGAATATTGGTACATTCAACGGTGGTAGTTTGATATTGTTACTTACGGTTGTTCTAGTTTCTGAAACGTTTTGACTGCGAACGTTCAGTTCTTCTTGTAACTGGATATATACTTCTTCGTATATCGATTCCAGTTGAATGAAATCTCCTTGGTCTATTTCATCATTGTTAAACAGACATTCATCGTTTAATTGTGAGATCTTTGCCCAACAATTCTTCAATTTTTCCAATTTGAATTGTAACGTTTCAATACTTTTCGTTAAGTCTATTGTCTCTTTGATCTGCAACAGACTTCTACTTAAGATTGCTAAACGTTTGTTCGTAATATCACATGGCCCGGTGATGGTGACTTCGTCATTGATACTTATGTCTTGATTCCTTAGTGACCGAGCTTCTTCTTGCCCTCTTATAACTTGATGCCTTGATACTTGAGCTTCCTTTTGCTCCATTTGCCTTATTATTTCCAATTCATTATTAAATCGCTTTTCGATTTCATTCCGTCTTTGTTGTAACTGGCCATAGTAATTTTTTGTGATATATTCGTGATCAGGCTTCAAATTCTTGATCAGATTATCATTGTTGTCTTCAAATGCGTCCCATTTCTGACGCAAATTTTCCAAACGTGTCTCAAAATACTGCTTTGAATATCTTGTAGAAGAATTCTTTTTAAAATTTATCCAGATCCTCTGGATCTCACCTTCAATGTCCTTTTGATGTTGGATAACTTGATCTATCTCTTCGATCTCCATGATGTCCTCTGTTAGTATTTGATTTGATTTGTTGAGCGCCTCGGTACGCTTGTATAAACTGTTTCACTTCCGATGTTGAAAGCCTCGGTACGCTTGTATTAACTTCACTCCGATGTTAAAAGCCTCGGTACGCTTGTATAAACTTCACTCCGATGTTGAAAGCCTCGGTACGCTTGTATTAACTTCACTCCGATGTTAAAAGCCTCGGTACGTTGTATTAACTTCACTCGATGTTAAAAGCCTCGGTACGCTTGTATTAACTTCACTCCGATGTTAAAAGCCTCGGTACGCTTGTATTAACTTCACTCCGATGTTAAAAGCCTCGGTACGTTTGTATTAACTTCAATCTTAGACTTTAAGTCTCTTTGTTAGGTATATTTGAAACTCTTACCACTGGTGGGGGAAATTTCAAATATCCGGCTCGAAGGACCAAAAATGAACAAGAATGTTCATTAACAATCTTTATGTCCCTTACCACTGGTGGGGGAAAACAATAAAAGATTGGTGAGACGTTGATTTACTTTCAACAACTGATTTTATTTAAATTGATTTGTTCTTTTATACAAAATAAAATGCAACCGTAATTGCAAAACATACAATAAATAAAATAACTTATTGCTTAATTCGCACAAATTGCTTAATAAGCAATAGTTGCGAATGCTTTACTTATGACCTAATTTTTACTTTTTGTTGATTCGTCAACCAAGAAATTAAGCAACAGGTATGAGCGATTAACTCATGACCTAGTTCTTAATTTTTTGTTGATTCGTCAACAAATATTAATATACCTTCTCCGTGTGTCCGTCCAACTTTATTTTAAATAATTTTTTTAAAAAATAATTAAAAAATACAAAAGAAATACAATCACTGACATCCAAACACATTTATAAAAATCATAACAAAAACCTGCAATGTGAGAAACGTCTTTTTAATTTGTTTTGTTATAATTTTCGTTTGATCGCCAAAAGTTGCAGCGAGTAATAGGAAAAGCTGAAAATGCAGCGTAGACATTGCAAGGTAAGAGAATCAATAACAAAGTAATTGAAAGCTTTCTTAAGTCTCGAAGTAGAAAACCTTAATGAAGTTCATTGACCGCAAACCGGTTAACTGAAATATTTTGATTCGGGCAGTTATAAAAAAATTGGAATAAAGGGAGCAGTCAGGGAAGCTACTGCCATCTTTTGGTTAGTTTGTTTAAAACGGAATGTACAAAACGAGTGACAGAGTTTTCTTTGCTGGATTTGATTAACTAAAAAAAAACTTCTGTGAACTACAAGAAATATAAAAGCAAACATTTTCCTTTTGTGTGTTCGGTTAAATATACCCGAAATAAGTGCTGTTTCCTAAAAACTAAAAAAAACTTCTGTGAACTACAAGTAATATAAAAGCATAAATTCCTTTTATGCCTTTTTGTCTGTTCAGTTAAATATACCCGAAATAAGTACTGTTTAATTTGTGCGGTAATTTAAATGTTGAACACTGAATATAGAAAACCGGTGAAATCAAAACCAAATAATTTCCAAAACCGGGATATTCAGAAGTAATACAAGTAAATTAAAATAGGAAACAATCCTCATAGAAAGTGGCGCAAAGTTAAGATTACATGTAAATTACAACTTAGAGTGGACTCCAATCGAACTAAACTTGCGTGTAGAATTAAAAGAGAAAAAAAAAGAAAAAATTTGAAAAAAAATATAAATTCATAAAACTAAATAACTAAAGCCTAAAAGGACGAAATAAACTAACCGGAAATAAAAAAAAAATATAATAAAAAAAAAAAGAAGAAAAACGAAAATTCAAATCACTGGTTTAGTTGGTGATTTTAAACCGGGGTTATGTTCGTGATTCTTTTGGTTAAAACATCTAAGCAGGATTTTAAAAAAAAAAAAAACAAACCCGCGACCGCGCCAGCAACATCAGCAACAGCAACAACAACTCAGACGCTAGCAGCCGCTACCACAGCTACAACAACGTCGCTCCTGGCACATAGCACCAGCGAACAAATATTTTCTTTTTTTGTACCATCTCTCTTTATGTATGAAATATAAAATATATTATATAGTTTCTTTTGCATAACTTATATGTTCATATGTATGAATTGTTAATTGCTTTATTTTTAATAATATTTTTTTTTTGTTTGATGAAACAATGGTCAATTCTAAGTTCATTTGATTTTTTTTTTTAAATATTATTATTCAGTATTAATAAATAGAAATATATTACATATGATATTTTTATGGAGTAAATATGAAGATAAAATGTTAGACAAGCTAAATCTAATTGGATTTTTTTTGAAGATATAATTAAGCTAATAATAATAATAATTAAGTAATAATTAAGCTTATATTATGTAAATTGTATGATCTATCTTATTATTTATTAGTGGACAAAGTAGTTAAATCTTTTTTTTTTTACTCCGCTCAGGATGACAATACTATCCAGTCATCCTCGGCTCCGGCAACATTTTACGGATGAGTGCCCAACAGTGACTGTCCAAGAGGAAGAGGAACTAGACACACGTCCCACCACAACCAAGACTGTGTAAGGTCCAAATTTTATTCTAAAATTTAACCCCACAAATTAAATGAATAGTCAAATATGAGTTTTAAATCCACTTAGTAAAAAAACATGTTTCTAAATTCAATAAAATTTTTCTGCAGTAACACCTATTTTTGACCCTGTAAATTACATATCAAAGACAAACATTTTTTATAAACGAATGACCCTGTGAAGTAAAATATGTTTTAATTAGTTTTTTTGCCGCTAATAAAAATTAGTTAAATTTGTTGTAACTATTTCTCTTGTTTGTCTGCATAAACAAATTTAAGAAAAATATTGTGCACGCATTTTTTATGTGATGCAGTTATTTTTGTTAAATTTGATTGCAATGCGTACAACAATAAGAAATTTGTTTTGACAAATTTACGGGACTTTGTTTATTTGAAAATAATTATTGTTTTTGTATGTAATGGAAGGAATTTCAAATAAAAGGGCAGCGAAATTGCCAAATCTTTCTATTTGGAATTTCTTTCACTTCAAGGTAAGTCACTTTTATTAGGGATGATAGTAGGAGCTCGGACTAGTTGGTCCAGGCATATGTTGATTCGTTTGGCCATTGCTGACGATGGATGAACTAGTTTGAGTGAAGTGATAATGGTTGAATTACCTTCTGCTTGGCTTATGCTGGCGTAGGGTAATTTAACCAGTTGAGTTACCTTCTGCTTGGCTTTTGCTGGCGTAGGGTAATTTACCTAGTCATCCAGACTTCCATTTGGCCATAGCTGATGAAGGAATGGGCGACGAGTCACCAACACTGTCAGAAGGCGTGTGGACAACGAGCGTTTGGCAATTGCTGACGGACGTGGCCAGGCGTAACAGTAGGAAGGAACCCTTGTCTGGCTTTTGCTGACAAAGGTATTGCTTTATATTGATATTAGAGTTTCTAAAGATTAGCTATTTGGAATTTCTTTCACTTCAAGGTTAGCAACTTGCGCACCACTGCAAGCAATCGTCATAGGACATTTCACAACATTCTACACCGTTTACAACATCGCGACAACGTTTATGACATCATACAACATTTCACAACATCCTACACCGTTTACAACATCGTTACAACATTTATAACACCATACAACATTTTACAACATGCTACACCGTCTACAACATCATTACAACATTCTACATCATT